CTTTCCCATTGTGCCCCAATGAATGTTTGAATGTGGTTCACTTTCCTCACAGTGGAGCATTTTCTCCAGCTGTTAGTATCAGGAAGGAGCAGAAACTTCCTGACGAGAAGGTTGATGGGTTCTTCCTCCACACCTGTGTCATACCATGTGATAACCCTGGGCCTGAGGTTCTGTCCCTTTCCCCTATTCAAGCCCTCAAAATTCTGTTTCCTGTTCAGCTCAGTAAATTCCAATGGGATACTAGGGAAATTAGGTTTTTCTCATTTTGGAAGATACATGTTTTTATGAGTTGTATGTGAATTGATTATTAACAATCAGTTCTAATGTGATTTGGAGTTTTTTCTTTATTCCTAATTAACAGTAAATTGATAGCATTAATATTTTGCTTTGGAAAAAGATACATTTAAGGCCAATGATTGGCAAACAGCCACTTATACACATCAAAGATGTTTGACACTTAAATATTTTTATCTTTTCCATGAAATGCCTTCTAGTATCTGGTTTGTGAGTGTGAACTTATGACTTCTGTGGGGCACACAGATATAGGTGTTTGAAATGAATGCTTCGGAAAGTGTGATGGGCAGGCTTTGGAATACAGCATAAGAAGAAAGTGCCATTTTTATGCTCTACACAGTGCTGACAGGCTACTACCAGCCGTTCAGTTATTTGGACTGGTGGTGATGGATTGTAAAACAGAAGTTAAGAAAGAAAAATTAGGCAAACATCTTCAGGATGGCCATAAAGACATTTTAGCCTAAACTGTTTAGAAATTCTGTATAATACTATAGGCCTATCCAGTGGCATGCCAATAGATTGACTTCGTCCTCTTGGATATGTAATAATACTTTATGGAATGTGTTCACATATATCATTTCACTTTATCCTTCAAGCACTGAAAAGGTGTAGCCCATATTAGGTCCCTGTTTCTACTGAAGAATACATGGAAACTCAGAGTTTACATGATTTGTCTAAGATCATCTGGCTTTCAGGCAGAGCTGGGACTAGGACCCCATGTACTGCTCTGTCCACTGGACCAGAATATTTGTTAAAACAGGCCTGGTGGTGACTGCTTTCTTGTTCTTTAACTAGATTTGATAAGTACTTTGATAAAATCAGTCTACTCTTTCTGCAGTGTCTTTTTGCTATTTCTAGGGGCTGCCTTTTTCTTCTCCAAGGAATCGCTACAATATTTGTAATTTAAAAAACTCATTTCAGTTTAAGAGCTGTAATGTGTTTTCCAGCCAATACGTTAGAACACTATAATCCCATGTGTATAAAAAGCTTCCCCGCTGAATGCATACGTGACCGGAGAGGGCTCAACGCAGGTGTGTGTGCTGGAGGAGTGGGAGAGGGAAGTTTTTGGAGAGAAGACAAGGACTGTTCATCACAAACCG